GAAAAAAAAAAAAAAACTGGCTGGACTCGATTGGCCTAGGGGATTGTGACTGGGGGCCTGGGGGACCTGGCAACTGTCGGGCACTGCTACGCTGTGCGTTGACGCCGGGCTTGGCTACGTACCGCAGCCGTTACTGCTACGACCATTTTAGGTGTTAGGTCAAAGAAGATTGGCGTACTCGTACTCCTCCTCTGACCTGTACTGTACCGATGTACTTACTGTACCTTACTCCATGAAGCCCATTTATCATCCATTAATTCACGCTCGTTGCAACAGTGGAGGAACGAACACCCGACCCAACCTGGAGCCTAACCTGACCTAACTGAACTGACCTAACCAGGTCCTAAAGTCCGCCACGCCCACCTCCACACTAAACTGCACCTACTGGACACCTGCTGCACACTTTCTGCACCCGCTCTGCCTGCGCGCATTGGACCAGACTGGGCCAGTTCTAACTGCACTGCATCATCCCCCATCCATCCCCCATCCCCATCTCTCCATCTTGCCATCCATCCACATCCACATCCAACCTTTCTTAGCCCTGGGCTGTCCGGGCTCTTGCTTCTTCTTTCATCCTCTTCCACCCTCACATCCCATCATCCTTTTTCTTTTTTCCCTTCCTCACCTTCACCCTCCTCATCTCTCTCTACCTCTTCCTCCTCCACGATAGAAACCGAACTCTCCCAAATCACAGACAATCATCAGTCAGCAGGCCTTCATTTGGTTTGTCGACTTTAGGGTTCTGGTACCTTTCTCGCGCGAGTCTCTCATTACCCTGTCTTTGTCTACCCGGCTCGCTGCTGCAGTAGACTCGACCTGCATACTCTGGACGTTCTTGAATTCTACCATCAACCTTTCGGATCAGCAGTACTAAGGGTTTTCCTCCTCAACCCTCACCTCACCTCACCCTTTCCTTGCTCTTAAGAAGGTTTGCCTTCTTTCTTCTTTTTGGTAAGTTTCATCATACTCTTGATTACGTCCTGATTTTTCGACAATTGTGGTCTCGTTTTGTACAATCGATCAACAACGCTTTTCGCGCCTGCCGACCACGTCTTTTGCACGTCATCCCTGGCTTTTATCCTTTTGCTTGTTCTACATGATGCTGGCAATGCTGCCGCCGAACACCGCGATCATCCAGCCCCGATCTCGATTTCGACCACGACGAACAGCTTGACCACTGTTACAACTTTGATGGCGAATATAGTCGAGATCTCAAACTAACTCACTGATTTAGACTGCTTGGATTTGAAACTCCCTGGGTTTCCAATATACCTTCGCCATTGATTTTATCACCGTTCACGACAAAAGCAATCAAATTCGGGTTCCAGCAATTTGACCTTCCGCAAATCGTCTCGAATTCAGACGATCCATTCATATACGTTTTCCGTATCCGACGTTACGACATACGATACAAAGTGCATCAGTAAATGGCCCGAAGCGCCTACTGAATCTTTGTCGATCTATTATCGACCTAGCCTCGAATCATTTTCGCGTTCACGCCCACGGGACCGTCTTAACTGTGGTATAAATCCGCAGTTACGCTTTTACGGCCCCAAGATTCGCTTCATTTCCCGACAAAGGTCGCGTTCGATCTTCGTCGGACCCATCTCCAATATTTCATCATGCCCGGAGGCGTGTGTGCCGTCCTCGACTATGAGGTCGACATGATGTCCGAGTACGTTGCCGAGATGGCCACTCGCGTTGTCACACCTGAGGCTGCTGTGACTTCGCCCTTCCGCAAGTTCGTGACCCAGATCCTTACTTCGACACGACTGCCCAGCACCACCATCCTCCTTGGAATGAACTATCTCGCCAAGAGAATCAACACCTTGAAGGGACAGGGTCCCTACAAGGCCTCGGAAGGTCAGGTCTGGCGTTACCTGACTGTCTCTCTGCTTCTGGGAAGCAAGTTTCTTGATGACAACACCTTCCAGAACCGCTCCTGGTCCGAGGTGAGCGGCATCGCTGTATCTGAGCTCAACTCTCTCGAGTTCGAGTGGGTAGAGTCCATGGGCTGGCGCCTCTATGTCAACATTGACATGAGCAAGGATTACCAGGCTTGGCTCGAGAACTGGCGCGATTGGCAGGACATGAAGAAGCGACAGGTCGCCCAGGCCAGCCGCGAGAGACTAGCATCTGTTGTCCCTGCCATCGACACTGACGTCGCCAGGTACTCTGGTCACCGCCAGTCTCCTCAATCGCGTTACCTACAGGAGCAGGCTGCAGGGTTCGAGCGCTATGCCATGAAGGCCCAGCAAAGTTATCGCCCACGCGAATCTGGCTGGGGTCACGCCTCTTGGGGAGCTCCTCTCACTCCCCCCGACTCTGGCTATGGCACTCCAGACTACGCTATGTCTGCTACCTCGAGCAACGACCGCTACAACGAGTGGTTCTCTCAAGCTGCTGCCCAATACACCAACCGATACCCCCAGCCTCCCGCCCACAGCACGTTCTACCCCAACTCGCGTCACAACTCCTACAGTGGTCACTACCACTACTCGCAAAACATGTGGGAGCATGGCCTTGCCGAGTGCAGCTGCGCAGGCTGTGTTGATCCCATGAAGCAACAAGTTCCTTATTTCGTGCCTCACGGCTACAGTCAACCTGTCATGGGTTAAAATCATCAAAAAGTTCCACCTAATGCCTCTGATCGAGGGCGGTTCGATCTTGGAAAGAAGAAAAAAGTTTTTAAAAGGTTTCATTTTTTACGGCCACGATTTTCCTTACTATACGCATCCCGAGAACGATACATTCGCATTCAGATACCCCAGGCACGACAAAATTGTTCACACGATGACCTTTTCGGCGGATCATTCTCAGGATTTTTTTTTATTACAGCCATGACTGGATGACAAGACTCGACTAGCCCTTGCATTGCTCTACACCAGCACACAAGATTTATGGCTACCTGGTCATGTCCAGGCACGATGGCATTCCCTTACTGTTTTACTGGTTATACGTTCTGTAATGGTCATACTTGGCGTTCGGATTTTTCTCTTTATCTTACACTACACGGTTCCGGTTCGATAGACTTGCAGTTTTTACAGTTTCCTTCGGCTCTCGCGCTCGACAGTACCTACCGGTTGGCCACGCTGCGAATCCTGGCTGGTTACATCCAGTCCTGCTTCGATCCCGACGCCGACTGCCGATCGATGAACTTCAGCGCAACAAATCCTACTATAGATGGCGATTCGACAATTCGGCAATTCGCCACTCGTTTGGACATGGCATTCTGTGGTAAACGCAGGATGACACAAGGTCACAATCTACCCTGACCATCTCTTCTTCCTCATGTTCTTGTCTACGCACAGTTCAACGAAACTTGATTCAATACAAGTATGGTTCGTCGATGCTCACTGAGCTAAGCGGCATAGATTTTGAGGATGGTATATACTTCACCTTTTCGTTTGTTTGTTATTGTAAGTGGCAGATATGGATTTTGACCACAGGAAACGGGTTTACATGACGGGGTTTATGCATTGCAATCAGCGGGTAAAACAAGGGATTTGGATTGATCGGATGATCATCGGTTTGATATTATATTCTTGTTTTTTTCTTTTGCTTCAAGCTTCATGCTGCGTTGGTCATGGTATTGACTTGCTCATGCCATCCTACTGCTCAGCATAGGAGCTGAGTGATACACTCTTGACTTTTGTTTTTCACAGGGTTCGGTGTCAGGCACTGTGGCAGGTTGGCTTTAACGAGAAGTTGAAGCAGCTGCTTTCATCGCGTCGGCTTAATGAAATCATTACAACGCCGAATTTGTTATTTTTTTTGCTACCACATCTTTTATTTTTTTCACGACTTTGGACGATTCATGGAAACATTTGAACAACATTCAAGCGCATCGAACGATGCAGTCTACAAACGTCAGCTGCTTTGAATCTGAACATTACGATTCAACAATCCCGATGTATTTTTCGGCTCTTGAAAGCTGTTTATAGGTAGTTGGCTTTTGTGTACTTGGTGCGCAAATAAAAAAGGTGTTAGAAGCATTCTTTATTCCTCTTGTGCATGCAAAGGATTGGGTTACTTTATTTACTTTACTTGATTTGAATCAAGGTGGGAGTTGTAGAATACCATAGAGTTGATACGGGATCCCACTCCGTTGATCTTGATCTTGAATTTCGCAAGGAGTGCCTTGCTTCATAGTTTAACTCAAATAAAGAAAAATCCTCAAAACCTGTATCTCATCTTTGATTTTTGGTGATGGCGTGAATGCGGCTGCGTTAGTAAACTTACATTGTCGGCTTGCGGCAGATTATCGGATAGATCGTTCTCACTTATTTACAATTGCAATGCTTGAGTTTGACAAACATCGACCCTCGCTTGACTTATTTATTCATTGATGTCTCGCAGTGACCTCTTTCAAGCTATACCTTCTCATTTGATCACCAAAATCTAACCACTGTCGAACTATGTCCAACCGCTTTGTGTCTGCGGGCAAAATTGGCTCGTCTGGGGATATTTCTAAAGATGTGAATGATACGGGATCAAGCACCAGTCAGCAGCCCCTTCATAGCTCTGCAAAAGCCAAAGAATGGGAACAAGTTCAACAACAACTGGAAGATGAAAGGAAGAGACGCGAAGAGCAGCGTATCAAGTCGGCCACAGGAGAAGGGGAGAAAAGCTTGTACGATGTCCTTCAGGCAAACAAAGGTGACTTCCCTTTCGAGATATGAGATAATTTCATAATGCTAAATGCGGAACAATAGCGGCGAAGCAAGCAGAATTTGAAGAACAGTCCAAGATACGCAATCAGTTCCGCGCACTGGACGATGACGAGATAGAATTCTTGGATGAGATACGCGCCAACAAGCGTGCTGAAGAGGAACGCGTAAAGCGGGAGACAGAGGAGGGTCTCAAAGCATTTCGCCAACAGCAAAAGGGCGACACCGTTCAAGATCAGTCTGCTGATGTGCAAGAAGGAGGCGAGTCATGGGAGATTGGCCGTAAGCGGAAACGCAACAAGGAGAAGGAAGTCAAGGGCTTGAGGCGTAAGGTGAGCGCTGCGGAGGAAACTAGCAAAAAGGACGAGGAGTCAGCAGAAACTACAGGACAGGATGCTGAGAAGCGCGAAAAGCCAAAAGTCGCACCTCAAACAGCTGCGAAGCCGCCGGAGAAGAAGGGCTTAGCGCTGGTGAGCTATGGGAGTGACTCCGACGATGAATGAAGATGCTGCACAGGCTTATTGGAGACGGAGACTCCATATTGAAAGGGAGTATATACATTGTCATCTCAAATAATAGATCATCAACAAGTAGCGTCCCTCGCTGTATCATACACACAGAAGAAACCCTGCCTTCGCCTAGGCATAATAGATACAAATGGTCCCTCGATCATAAGATGCTCCCTGAAAAGTGATTGTAATAATAGTACACAGAACTACACAGCGGCACATATCCAAGCCGCGCTCCTTTTTATATCTCACAAATGCAACACCTTGTTCTATTCATCACTGTCCACGTTTCCAACATTCGGTCGCATGGGCTTGGCGGTCGCTGATTCAACAGTCCAGTTCCACAAGCTGCGGAGGCTTCCCTTGATCCAACCTTCAACCTCGGCCTCAGGGACCTTGATTTGAGCGGCGCGGGCCTCGATCTCGGGGCTCATCTCAAAGCGTCGCATGCGCTGTGCCAACCTAGGGTCAACGACCATGGGCGCAGGCCAGATCTTCTCCTTGGGGGGCTGAGCAGGCGTGGTTGCTGCGTTGTCGTCGTCCTTCTTGACAGGCTCCTCGGTGTTCCATACTGACTTGACCCAGTCTTTCTCTTCGTGCTTGAGGACGAGCTGCTGCTCGTACTGGCCATCGGCCTCGCGCCATTCCCGAGAAGAAGCAGCGAAGCACACAGCGGCAACTTCGCGACCAATTTCGTCGGCGAGCTTGCGGCGGTTGAAGAAACGGTTCAGACGGACAAGAGTATGGCGGAAGCCGAGACGGTGGGGGAGAGGGATGGGGTTGGAGGGGGAGAATTCGGCAGGAATATTGGTGGGAAGACTAGCCAGGGGGTAGTCGGCGGTGGTGTTGTAGGGAACTGGTTGAGGTGGTCGCTCAGGCTTCTTCTCTTCCTCTTTCTTCTCCTTAGGCTCTTCCTTCTTCTCTTCAGTCTGTTCGCCCTCAACCTTGGGGGTCTCAGCAGCCGGTTCGATGGCGACAGGTTTTGTCTCCGTCTCGGGCTTCGCAGGAGGATCAAGAGGACCCAGCCAGCCTTCGTGTAGTCCTCGCATATACTCCTTCCATGTATGTAGGCCGAAGACGATATCACCCTTGACACCGTCATATTCTGGTATATTGTTCTTCTTCCTCAAAGCAGCGGTTATCGCCTCGTCTGTTTGTAGATCCTCTTCGCTTGATCGCTCGTACTGTCTTCTCTCGCGACGAATCTTCTCTGCCACGGCGGCTCTCACATCACCCTGTTGTCTCCCTTGGACGAACTCCCAGTCAAGGCCAGAAGCTGCCAGGACGGGCTTCGCATACTCAATAAAGTGATCCTGCGCAACACGTAGACCGTCCCCAGGGGGTGATTCGAGGTAGATTGTCAGCTTGCGAGGGAGGTGGCTCGCTGAGGGGATTAAGTCGGTTGCGAGAGGAGCGACGACATGCTTCCACTTGGCTGTAGCCCTCTTCTTCTCGCGCTTGTCGTAGATAATAGCTGCTGAAATAGAACCAGTGATGGCCCAGAAAATGAGCCAGTTACGTGAAGGGAGTTTTCGAGGAAGATTTGGCAGGCCCATCATTCGTAGAGCTGGGTTCTGTTTCGGCTTAGGACTGGGCGCCTTGTAGGCTGCGCCGGTGCCAGCAGCGGGCTGCTGCGGTGGGGGATTAGAGTCGGCCATTGTGTATATGTATTATGGCAGTCTTGACTGAAAAGACTGGAAAGCTCGAAATATACTACGCCGAGGCCTTCAAAACCTTATGGACCGCGGGGTAGCGAGCGTCTTGATATCGGCCTTGCCGCTAGGTCGGATCGCTTGAAGAAAAAAACGGCGATAAGCAGCTCCGATAAGGTCCCGAGAGCGGAATGGAAATACTTTGGCCCCGGGGCATCAACATGAAGACGAAAGAAGGAAATATGCTTAACGATCAAGTTTGACCCCGAATTGTATCTGTTGTATGTCTGTCTTACCGAGTTCACCTAGCTACGAAGTTGTACAGAGATGACTTGATCTCGGTGGCTGACGGTTTCTTATTGCGATTACATACTATCCATCCATTCGCGTACTTGTTTAAATAATTGTTAGCAGTCCTTAGGCTATTCATTCATGATCACGTTGTGTCGGTCGACTGGCTTTGTATTACAACAGTGCAGTCCTCTCAACGGCCATCTCCAGGGACCCCTGGTGAACCGCCATGTGGAAAACACAAGCGATAGACGGATGTCACAGAAGCCGAGCCGAGCATGGGTGAGGTCCATCTGCAATTGTTAAAGGGTTGGATTAATAAAAGATAAATGCTATCCGAAATGATTCAATTGATTGGACATTTAAGAAACAAATGACATGTCGTCAGAGTTCATCTATCTACAACAGGCCAGGATAGTCCCGAGGCTGAAAACCTGGAAGTTGAAGTTGTTTTATAGGTACCTAAGGGTTAAGAAAGGTGGAGGACCCTGCGACATGCAAGTGACAGGTTCACCTGAGGCTCAGGAATACATAGTACTCCAGTACATTGTATGGATGATGGCTATAACAGCCCGTACTGTGCTACAGGACGTGCGTGCATATCCGTCCGTACAGCAACCCATTATCCAATCTGGGGAAACACAAGCGGCAGGGATTCGGCCCCTAAGAGATCTCCAGTACAGCAAAGCAAGGGCAAGTCTAGAAGAATGGAAGGTTTGTAGATGCGCTGTAAGCTTTAATACTTGAGATGAGAACATAGACGGAGGAACGAGAGATGGACGAAGCATGGCTAGTCCACGATTGATTCACCACCAGCACCGCTTACCGGTGTCGAACTAGCTTGAGATGAAGGTGTAATCAGGAGTTCCTCAGTGCATTAGTTTTCTAGAGTTAGAACAGGAATCAGATAGGTAAGTAGTGAAGAATATGGATATCAATTAGGCTGAGTGAATGGTTTCTACCAAGTTACGCAGATGATACAACCATACACCATCATAATGGTATCCTACCAAACACATGCAAATCCAGTATTACTCGAACAACCAAATGCTAAAATCCCATCCATGAGCTACAATGGATCTCAGTTAGGTTGGGTGGGTGAAGTGGGTTTCATAGCAGCAACAGCGCATCACTAGAAACATGGCAACTCCCTAAAAATGAACTAGACTGCCCCGATCCAGGCCGCCGCCCGGTCTTAGGTAGAGAGACTTCCATCTAAGCCCCTCGGATCTCCCCCTCTTACAGTAGTAGTTGGCTGCCAGCTGTCATTGTTAACCCAAGCCAAGCCAAAACCAATGGAAACAATTCGTGCTTTGAACTTTTGCCTCAGGAGCGGACAGTAGCCAGATCCCTGCTGTTTCGACTCAGTACAGTATCGTGCAGTGCAGTGCAGAGCTGGCAGCATTAACCTTAGTACTGCCAACTTGGGCTAGATACAGTACCTTAGCATTGGGTTCTGGAGATGTACGTTTACTGATACATGAGCCTGCAGAAACAATTCCCCTCTATTCTCAAATCAATTTCCTATCCGTTCATCTAATCTGAGACTATCAACCGTGCGCTGGTTTCTAGCTGCAAAGTCCTGGTCAAGTTCTATTCGTGCTCCGCCAGAAGTGGCTCTGGTGCTACAGTACGCCGGTAGGTATACCTTACCTCACCTTGAATTGTACTGTATTTGGTACCACTTACCAATTAACCTAGTCCAGTCCCGCGCGCCGCCCCTCGCTCTCCCCTCCACAAGCACAAGCCCCTGGACTTGACCCTCCCCTGAAACCTATCCGCCATCTCGACTCCCACCTGGCAGTCTTGATCCGATTCTTTTCACCTTTACTTTCGCCGTCACCAACTTGTCGAGACGGTATTACGGCGAAACGAGGCGATAGAGACGCCGCAATCAGACAAGATGGATCCCAACAACAGCAACAATCGCCTCTACCTCAACTTTGGTAATGGCAACGATCGTTTGACCGCCTCAGACAGGGCCGCCTATCCCACTACGCCTTCGACCTTCCCTCAACCTGTTTTTCCTTCAGCATCTGGTCAACAGCCCGGTGGACTGCAGCCTCAACAGCAGCAACAGCAGCAGCAATATGCCGCTGGCTATGCGCCCCAGGGTTATTTTAACCAGAACCAATATGCCCAGTATGGCGGCCAGCAACAGCAGCAGGCCAGCGATTATCAGCAGGGTGCGGGCTATCAACAACGATCCAACACACCGGGCACCAACGACCCCAACACCGGCCTCGCCCATCAGTTTTCTCACCAGAATCTCGGTGGCGCTGCCAGAGGGCAGGGTTATGCTCGAGGTCCTTCGCCAGGCCAGCGTCCTAGAACCGCTGGCAGTTCAGGACAGCAGCCTGGCTACAACTATATGAACGCCCCTCCCATGCCTACCCAATCCTCCGCCCCCGGCGAGGAATTCCAACGAGCACCTGAGCGAAACCCTGATAGATATGGCACCAATGCCAATAGCAACCAGAAGAAGTGCTCCCAGCTTGCTGCCGACTTCTTCAAGGACAGTGTCAAGCGTGCACGCGAGCGCAACCAAAGGTACGGAGCAGCAGCACAAGGTTTCCCGGTAAACTGGAGAGTGTAAGCTAACTCGCGACAATTCAACAGACAGAGTGAGCTGGAGCAGAAGCTTCAGGATCCTTCCCAGGGCGCTGCTAGACGTGAGCAGCTGTGGTCCACCGCCGGTAGGAAAGAAGGCCAGTACTTGCGTTTCCTGCGTACCAAGGACAAGCCCGAGAACTACAACACTGTCAAGATCATCGGAAAGGGTGCTTTCGGAGAGGTCAAGCTTGTGCAAAAGAAGGGAGATGGCAAGGTCTACGCCATGAAGTCACTCATTAAAACAGAAATGTTCAAGAAGGACCAGCTTGCCCACGTCCGATCAGAACGAGATATTCTCGCCGAGTCAGACAGTCCATGGGTTGTCAAGCTATACACCACATTCCAGGATTCGTACTTCCTTTACATGCTAATGGAGTTCTTGCCTGGTGGAGATCTCATGACAATGCTGATCAAGTACGAAATCTTCTCTGAAGATATTACTCGTTTCTACATTGCAGAAATCGTTCTTGCTATTGAAGCAGTACACAAACTGGGCTTCATTCATCGGTATGTACCACACTGCGACTACCTTTGTCGTTCTCGAAACCTGTCTAACCCTTAAACAGAGACATCAAGCCCGACAACATTCTGCTCGACCGGGGCGGTCACGTCAAGCTTACCGATTTCGGTCTGTCAACCGGTTTCCATAGACTCCATGACAACAACTATTACCAGCAGCTCCTTCAGGGACGGTCTAACAAGCCGCGCGACCGTAACTCTGTTGCCATCGATCAGATCAACCTGACTGTCAGTAACCGATCTCAGATCAATGACTGGCGACGATCCCGAAGACTGATGGCTTACTCAACTGTCGGAACTCCCGACTACATCGCCCCCGAGATCTTCACTGGCCATGGATACACCTTTGACTGTGATTGGTGGTCTCTTGGTACCATCATGTTCGAGTGTCTTGTTGGATGGCCCCCATTCTGCGCCGAGGATAGCCACGACACCTACCGCAAGATCGTGAACTGGAGACAAACTCTTTACTTCCCTGATGACATAACACTCGGCACCGATGCGGAGCACCTGATCCGAAGGTAAGGCACCAGTTTTACCAACATTCAAGATGCGATGGCTAACTTTCAACAGCATGGTCTGTAACACAGAGAACCGTCTCGGTCGCGGTGGTGCGCACGAAATCAAGAGCCATGCTTTCTTCCGTGGCGTCGAGTTTGACAGCCTGCGCCGCATCCGCGCACCTTTCGAGCCTCGCCTGACTTCTAACATTGACACCACCTACTTCCCGACTGACGAGATTGATCAGACTGATAATGCTACTGTCCTCAAGGCCCAAGCCATCCAATCAGGCCGAACGGTCGAGGAGTCTCCCGAGATGAGCTTGCCCTTCATTGGTTACACATTCAAGCGGTTTGATAACAACTTCCGATAAATGTAATGGAATAGCCAACTTGCCATCGCCAACTGTTTTATCCACACGAAATAGGCTCAGTTCTGTGAACGGGCTTTGCTTCGCTATCACTGTAATAGCGGTGGTGAACTGGATAACACAAACATGCCGGCTTCTTAATAGCTGTCTGTGGTACGGCGAGACAAGGCATTTGTTGTATAGCAAGGACTGGCCTTCTGATTGATCTTTCTGCTGTCTCGACGTATCTTTTGGGGATGTTGGAATCGGAGGACAAGTCTAGACGAAATGCATACAAGCGGGGGTTTAAGACGTTTGCTGTCTGGAATTTGCATCACAGAGGTCATGTAACAAAATATGAGATTTTCAGGCATTGTCATACAAGTCAATAATAATCAAGAGAACCAAGAGCTACTTTTGAGCATAGCAGTGGATGGACGAGCGTGTATGCACATGGACTAGAATTACTTGCTGTAAGAAGGTGTTTTCGATTCTGTAGTCTATGTCTTCGCAAGTCTTAGCGAGGAGCGACCTTGACTTTTTGAACCCCGACTGAATCCTACACTATGAACGTCGTTCGTCCATATATTGCACCAAAACGATTCTTTATGCTGCTTGCCCAAAACTTGATAACCAAATGTCGGGCGATCATGTGAAAAACCCCTGAACGCCATACCGTGACCTAAAGATCCCTTTCTTGACTCCCAATGTACAAATGACCACATCAGAGGGTATTTAAGTATGCATCATTACCTCCTCGCTGTCAATCCAGGAGCGGCATTGAAACGCTCCTCACGCTCTGTCATAAACATAACCTGGATCCAATACTCCTTGGCATCCGGGTCCCAATAGGCAAATTGCTTATCCTCGCGCTTGTCGAGCTCACGCGCTGGGATCTTGAAACCGACTGTCTCGTATGGTTCGGCTGCGACAAGCAGATACTGGAAGTTCTTGTCGGGCTCCTCGACGTGCTGGGTGAAGGCGTTCATGACTTGCCACTTGGGCGATGTTTCGGGTGTTGCGTCAGGGTACTGAAGCTGGAAGAGTAGACCCTGCTGTCGAGAAACCGGATCGCGGATCTTTGTGATCTTGTATCCTGGGCGACCAATCTTGACGATATTGCGACGCTGCGCAAAACCTGCGCCTGTGACACCGATGGGCAGACCAGTGGCGGGATCGACAGCGCCCTGGCGGCCTTCCTTCTGCTCGCGAGCAGCGCGACGGGCGAGGTTGGTCTGATGCTTCTTTCCCTGGGTATGGGCGAGATAAGAACCGTCGTTCTGGTGGACAGTGAGACACAGACGACACTCGAAAGAGCCGACGTGGTTCTTGAAGAAGTAAGGATCCTTGTCGAGGTCGATAGTCTCGAGGGCGAGCTTTCGAAGACGTTCGCGACGGTCGGCGTTTGTGGCGGACTGAGAGGCTACACCTCCACCGCCGAATTTCGAGCCAGCGCGGTTTTGGAAATCCATATTGATGAAGAGGCCGTGGCTAAGTGGGAATGAGTATTGATGGAGTTCGGGTCGATGTTGAGGTTGATTTGCGCGAAGCTGGGATGGAAAGAAAAGCACGGTTGTAAGCGTAAAGGATGAACTATTGACCTGGACTGAATTCAAGAATTATGTGGAGACATTCGACATGCGCGGAGCCAATCAGTGCTTACGATTGTATACTTTAACAAGTCCTCTTATACTCAATTATATCTTAAACCAAAGACTATATGACAATTAATTTATATAGACACTGAGCATATCGTTTGTCTCTACAGCCTCACTATGTCGGCATGCTTAGAAATCCAGGCTTCAACACAAGCGACAAACCTATCAAGCTCAGCTGCTGGTGTTCCCAGCACAAGAGCCATGAATCCTCTGCGCACAATCCAGAATCCTTCTTCCATCATCTCGCACCAAAATAGATCTCTCAAGGTGTCGATTTCCTCGATTTCCCCAGATCGTTCAAATATGCGATCGCCATTCGTTGGGAAATGTACTCCCATGATCGTACCGACACCAGTAAAGACTACCCTCGTGCCCTCAGTTACTGCATCAAGTCGTTCTCTCAGCTCATCACCAGATTTGGTAAACTGGACAGAGACTTTAGGAGTGTAGACTTTGGTCAAGCCAGCATATCCGGCATGGGTCACTAGAGTGTTGTTGTTGAAGGTGCCTGAATGGGAGAGGGCATTCGGAGATCGAGGATCAAAGGCTGCCATAATATCCGCCCTTCCGCCAAAGGCACCAAAAGCAAGACCTCCTCCGAGATATTTACCAAAAGTCTTTAGATCTGGCTTGAGACCTCTTAATTCGGAGATGCCTCCCGCAGAAAGACGGGAAGTCATGACTTCGTCAATGATGAACAAGACGCCAGCCTACCTCTCGTCAGCATGAGAGTGAATATTTAAGAACAAAGCAAGACTCACCTTTGCAGCAATTTCTTGTATACCTTGCAGAAACTCTGGCTTCCCTGACAGACCACCTCCAGAGCCCTGCATACCTTCTAGCAAAACAGCAGCGACATCCTCACCCTCGATAGCAGCGCGAGCACTTTCAAGATCATTATATCTGGCCACTACCCAGTCATCCATGTCCACATTATTGGCTTCTGGCTTTCCTCCCTTGAAGCCTATGACAGCGCCGTGGTAGCCCCCGCTGAAAGTCACCACTCTTCTCTTCTTGGTGAAAGCTCGCGCAGCTGCCAGAGCGTGGATGTTGGCCTCAGTACCAGAGTTGCAGAAGCGAACATGTTCAATATTGAAGCGACTGCAAAGCTCGCGGGCGAATATTTGCTCTTGAGCTGTGTTGCCACCCACATTCATACCAACATTGTCCAGCACATCTCGAATTGCTGAGAGAATGACAGGGTTGGAATGTCCATAAAGAGCTGCCGTGAACTCGCCAGTCAGGTCTGTATAACTAAGTCAACTATTAGCTACTGCTTCGGTTCCAATATCTAGAACCACTTACACATGTCCATCTTCAGAGGTGACCTGATGTCCTTTACCAGACTTGATTACAACTGGGAATGGGCTGGTATGAAGAACAGTTCTTGTGTTTCCACCAGGCATGGACTTGACTGCTTCATCATGCAAGGACTTGGATCGTGGGTTGCGAGCAATATAACGATCTATAGCATCGTCGAGCTTGGACTGGATTCGTTGGGTGAGGTCTGAAGACATTGCTGTAGTGTTGCTTAAAGATGAATTCTATTGATATCTTGAAGATCTTGAAGAGCAGAAATAAGAATAACCACAACTTATTTAAGTTGTCGAATTATCCTATGTTCGGCTATAATTCTAGAAGTGAAAGCCTTCGCCTCTCGGTCTCAGTGATGATCATGTTAATAAGTGCCCTCATGAGGAGCAACTTTCGGGTTTACGTTATCGGGTCTCGGGTTTGGCTCCGTGTAAGTCTAAGGTAGTCTTGTGTTAGATACTAACATCAACTCTCGAAACTACTGAGATATGCCAGACCTAGATAGATAATGAACAAGGGACTGAACTGCTAATTACTCTTTTATCAATTATTAACTGTACATTTACTTAGTATAACGCAGGGAGACAAGTTGTCCGTCTGAGTCTTCTCATACATCCAAGCCATAGGCTTGTTCATTCTCATAAAAAACTATAGCTGAATATGCTGAGTAAATATGAACTAGCTGACTTAATAGAAGCTTCCTATTACAATACTGTGATGACTTTTTGTCTTCCATATACCAATTCGAGAACTCCCAAGGTGGTGAGCATAGATAAAGGTACGTACCTTTCCGGAGGGGGGGAGACAAGAAAAGCGGTCTGAAAAATAAATCGGCAGAATTAAGCCATCCCACTTAATTTTTCAAACTTTTGATCGAGGTTCGTGGTGGAACAAGACAAGCCGATAGAGACATAATCAAGTCAGAAATTTCACAATGGCCGGCTCAATCAACAAACCCAAGAGTAAGATACAAAACTACCACCCCCTATAATACTCATCCCTAATCTGCTGTAGAGCCCAAGTCCAAGCGAACTCCCGTTCGTCTTCGCCACAAGATCCAAAAGGCGTCCGTCGCAAAGCAAAAGAAGGAGCGCAAGCTCGCAAAGAAGAACCCGGAATGGCGAACAAAGCTAAAGAAGGACCCTGGTATCCCCAACCTGTTCCCTTACAAGGAGAAGTTGCTCCAGGAGATTGAGGAGAACCGCATTAAGAAGGCCGAGATGGCGCAAAAACGAAAGGAATTGGCCAAGGCCGCAAAGACGGGCACCAAGGACGAGAACGCCATGGCCGATGTCGAGGTTGACTCCGCCGACGAGATGGACGATGACGAGATGGATGACGATATCGACGAGTCAAACCCCATGGCTGCTCTTATTGCCAGCGCTCGCGCTGCCGCCGCCACCTATGACCGACAGCTCGCAGAGGACGACGACATGGATGAGGACGACAGTGACGATTCCGACAACGACCGTGGCCCTGAGATGTCAATTGGCCAAGCCTCTTCAAGAAAGACTTACGACAGAGTCTTCAAGCAAGTTGTCGAGGAAGCCGATGTTGTCCTTTACGTCCTTGATGCACGCGACCCTGAGGGCACCCGTTCTCGCGAGGTGGAGCGTCAGGTCATGGCTGCCGCAGCTGGTGGCAAGCGACTTATCCTGGTTATCAACAAGGTCGATCTGATCCCTCCCAAGGTTCTCCGAGACTGGCTCATCTACCTTCGCCGTTACTTCCCTACTCTGCCTCTCCGAGCTTCTGGCGCCGCTCCCAATGCACACACTTTCAACCACCGCGACCTGACTGTTCAGAGCACCTCTGCTACGCTCTTCAAGGCTCTCAAGAGCTTTGCTGCTAGCCGACAATTGAAGCGTGCTGTTTCCGTCGGTGTTATTGGTTATCCCAATGTTGGTAAGAGCTCCGTTATCAACGCGCTCCTGTCCAGGATGAGTGGAAAGGGTGGCAGCTCTTCAAAGGCCTGCCCTGCTGGTGCTGAGGCAGGTGTTACCACGAGCATCCGATCAGTCAAGATTGACAGCAAGCTTACTCTTCTCGACTCCCCTGGTGTCGTCTTCCCCTCGTCTTCCTCAACACAGTCCGCCGGTCTTGTCTCTCTTAAGAACGCTACTGAGGCACATGCCCACCTGGTTCTCCTTAACGCTGTTCCTCCCAAGCAGATTGACGACCCCATTCCTGCTGTCACCCTTCTGTTGAAGCGTCTATCCGCTTCTCCTGATCTCATGGAGAAGCTTACAAACGTCTACGACATTCCTGCTCTTCTCCCTAACCGCGCTGACGGCGATTTTACGACCGATTTCCTTGTCCAGGTCGCCCGCAAGCGAGGTCGTCTTGGTCGCGGTGGCATTCCCAACCTTCCTGCCGCCGCCATGACAGTCGTCACCGACTGGCGAGACGGCCGCATCCAGGGATGGGTTGAGCCTCCTGTCCTTGCTGTTGAATCTACAGCCACCGCTGCCAAGCCCGCCATCAAGAACGCTGGCGAGGATGAGGTCGCTGCTGACCAGAAGCAGATCGTCACCGAGTGGGCTGCCGAATTCAAGTTGGAGGGTCTCTGGGGCGACGACAGCGCTGACGTCGAGGATGCTATGGAGCAGTAAGGAAAGAAAAAAGCTTTGTGGTGGTTTGTTAGCAACTTTGACGGACGGGTTACATGAGTTCTTCACTGGAAAGTTTGGCGTTTCAAGGATGGCTGTTAGAACGGTTTAGATCCGTGCATATACATTCGTAAAAAAACATTCTGTCTACCTAAAAACTCCTTCATGTTTATACCAAGTGACTGCAGATTATGCATTATGCTGTATACCCCCTATCCGAATCATGTTTTTATCTTGTTTAAGCCTCGATCAATTCCATCTTGACGCCACGCTTGCCGGTCATCTCATCCTTTTCATCACGGACTCTGACCCTGACCTTTTGGAACAGCTCGACCTTGACATTTCGGCTTCCCTTGGTGGTAAGTGTATAAGTCTCAGCATCGAACTCGGCCTCTGGCTCGGGCTCTGCAAGGTCCCTCAGTCGAATAAGGCCCTCAGTACCAAAGCGTGGTACCAGGACCACGAAGCCGTTGCTGAAAATCTTCATCACGAACGCATCCTCCTCAGCAACCTTGCCCTTAAGAGCCTGGCCGACATAGTAGGCGATACTGGCACGGCCTGCCATTTGGGCGTTGCGATGTCGCACGTTGATGTTCTTGCATACGGCTTCCAGACGTCCTCGACTGCGAACGTTGGGGTGAATGGCTTCGTAGTCAATGGCAGCGGCAAGCTGTCGATGAGCGAGGAGATCGGCGTAACGACGAATGGGAGATGTGAAATGAGTATAGATTTCCGAAGCAAGACCGTAATGGCGGAACTCGGGATAGGCTTGGGTACCGGAGCAGAAATACTCGGCGCTCATCATGCAGCGAGTGGCCATGATACGCACAAGGGTGTTGAAAAAGGGCTCATCGGGGTCAACGCATTCATCCAAAGAATCGGCAAGGGCCTTGCTAGAATCGGTGCGTAGTTCCATGCCACGTTTTGTGCGTAGCTGGTTCGAAAGTTCATCAAAGTTGGTCTTTGGAGGAGCACCGTGGCGACGTAGAATAGCAGTTTGAGGGAAGGCTTCGTAGATCTTGGCCGCGACGCTAATATTGGCGAACAACATGAATTCCTCGACAAGAGAATTGGTGTCGAGCAGCTGTTTTGTCTTGACATCGATTGGGTCAGATGTCTCAGATTCCGTCTGCACCTTAACTTCTGGGGAAGAGAGGCTCAGGGCACCGGCATCCATTCGCTTCTTCTTGAGCTTCTTGGAGAGCATGAGAAGCATGCGCATGCCCTTGGTAAGATCATCTTGTTGGGAATCGTCGTCGATTCGTAGCTGGGCCTGTTCGTAGCTGAAAGCTTCTCGTGATTTGATGACAGACTTGGTGAAACGAACATTGACAATGTCGGCGTTATCGTTCAACTCCCAGAGTACGGAAAAGGCAAATCGCTCGACATAAGGCTTGAGCGAACAGAGATCTGTACCAAGCAGGGGAGGAAGCATGTCGATACGCTTGTCCACTAGATAGACGGTGGTACCTCGGATACTAGCTTCAGTGTCCATAGCGTTGGCAGGCTTGACAAAGTTGGAGACATCAGCAATGTGGACACCGACTTCGTAATTTCCGTTGGATAGCTGTTTGGCATGAAGGGCGTCGTCAATATCCTGACAGCCAACTGGATCAATACTGCAGATGAGGAGTCCCCGGAGGTCCTCTCTTTGCCTCCAACCAGGATCGTCCATGCTTGTAGGCACCCTCCAGTCATGACCCTCTTTGGGAAGGCAGTCCAACACGGTTTTGGGAAACGGTCGATATTGAACATCCCACTCAAGCAACAGAGCCTCGGTCTCGGCAGACTTGGTTTCCAGCTCACCCAAAGATCGTACAAAGTGTCCAACGGGATGTCTCGAGTCGCGCTCCCAAGCATCAATGGTTACCAGAAGACGCTTGCCGAGAAGGTCACCAACCTGTCTCGTACGAAGACGAATCTTGGGGATCTTTTTGTCCATGGGAATCAGGAAAACGCTGTCCTGTTTGCGACCTTGGCTAGAGGAGGCCTTGCTCGCCGACGAAGGGTCGATGTGACCAACGTACTGACGCCAGTTACGCTTGACTACACCGACGACCTTGGCCGTGGGTTGGGGTTTGCTCTCCGACGCGCTCTTCTGAGTCTTCTTGACCTGTTCTTGAAGGGCTTTTCGCTCTTTTTCTGAGACAAAATCCTGGCTCTCCTCCACGTCGGCATTTTCATTCTTAGTGATGGCCTCCTCCTCGATGATCTTTGTTGAGGGCTCCTTCCATTGATCTTGAGGAAGAACCTCGACGATTACAAGATCACCATCGACGGATCGATTGATGTTCTCACGACCGAGGACTAGAAGAGGCTTTGGGAACGCCGGAACTTTGATAGAACCCTCGAGGTAATTGTATGGCGAGACATTGAAGATACCTTGGTGCATCAACCCGGCCTTGACGCCGGTCATCATTTTTGATAGGGTGAAATATTCAGGATAGAGCATCTGGCCCTGCGTCTTGAAGGATCCTTGGGTTTGGGCCTCTGCCACCATGTCGAGAAGCCTCTCGCCGTCTTCGAGAGTACCAACGTAGTCTCGCAGGGATGATGCATTCAGGCCATCCTCTTTAGCCTTGCGAAGGTTTTCTCGGTCATCGCTAAGCATCACGACAGCTGGAACCTTCTTCGCCTTGGTCTTGGCAAGATGCTCGCCGTACCATTTGACAGCTAACCGAACAGCCCTGTCGTTGCGATCATTGACAGTTTCGTTTGCATCACGATGGACAAACGTTTCAAGCCTAAAATCGTTGAAGAAGACGTAGAATCTCTTGTCCTCACTCTTGGTAAGCCCCACTAGACGGTTGTACAGAGGCAGTGATCGATTTCGTAGCTCTTCCAGCACTGTTTGCAGGATGATAACATCATAAAAGGCTGAGCTTTGTTCGAAAAGGTCCATCGCGTTAAGCAATGCGTTAGTATCAGGGACTAAGTAATGACCCTGAGAGTAAGTCTTGGTGCCCGCAGGCTTGTCCGAAAGGACAAAAGACTGAGCTATAATGAGTGTTAACAAGCTGTAATACCGGGATACGATGAGGCATCTCACCTTGCTGGGCGGCATTTCGAGGAGCGTCCTGAAGACAGGCCTTGCAGAGCTGGGAAGAGCAAGGAATATCGGTTCGTAGGTAGACTTCTCTCACAATTTTCTGCACTTTGCCACTTCTGGTTGAGCGGACATAAACCTTGCTAGAAATATTTGAAGCCTGGGGATCGGACTCGGTTGATCGTTTTAAACTCGCCATCTTTGCTAGATTCTTTCTCTAGCGATGCAGTGAGTTGATGAGTTTGTATGATGAAAAGACTCTTGGTTGCAAAGCATTCGCGATGATAGTGGGTCTTGTTATCGATAGTCGATAAGTCAGCAACAAGTACCTTGGTAACTATGGCAGGCACGATTGTGACCTACGCAATTGTGATATCTTGATTGATCGAACAACAGAATATTCAAATGGAAATGAAATGGCTGTTAGAGCCAGACATTCTCAACTACATACTGTTTGTCTTCAGCTCACTCCGAGAAGCTTGCGTTCAGCCAACAGTCCTTGTCACATGATTACCTCGTCACGTGCTCTCCTGCCGCAACTTCACTTGACCTTCTTTCTTGGTCCTTCCTTCCGTAGATTTCGTTACCCTTTCATAATTTGTGAAGATGAACATCAATCGCACGAACTATGCTTCGTATTCAAGCTTTAAACGCTTCGGTTTGAGGGAACTTGACCCATTAATGATGAATTCCTAGCGAACAGTTCGCTCCACTTCTCAATCAGACATCACTTACACGTCCCCAATTCAACGAGTCCAAATTACTCTGAGAATCGACACTACTTTAGTATTTGTTGAACTTCTCACCAGATAGAGCAGACAGAAAAGTCGGCAGTAAGATCATGCTCTTAAAAGACGCAGAAGCCTCAGTTCATTAATAGCAAAGTCACCAAATCGCAAGAAGCAGTGTCAGGTCACGAAACTGGAGACATAATACTTCTCGAATACGTCTCAAGTGAAATGTATCGATATACAGACTACCATGATGATTTCTAGCCGACTATAAGTCAACACCTGCATAGGTATGCTGTGTACATATCGAGATCTTCTTAGTTGGTGTCCGATACATCGACATTCTTAGGCAAGCATACCCCCTGAGAGTCAACAGAATATTATGACGAGTTCAGCATTCACAGGCGTTGCCCACCCCAAAGAACAGCTTCTGCTCGTGCATCAGCACTATCCGCGCGCACAAGGTTCACTTTCATAGTGATAGACTGGAAAAAGACATGCATTGTTTCACAACCCATCGAATGTCGCGCCGAGATGCAATGGTGCAAGCCCAGTGAAGACCTCTACTATTCTAATTCCCGGAGTCCGAGCCCGAGCCCGCCACACGAGCTCTTGCTGAGCACCCTAGGGGCTACCAAAGCCTTTCATGAGAAGCATACTTGGTATGGACAGTGAAACTCGATGTCATTCTTGTGTCTGCGAATAAGACGAGATGTTCTTGATCGGTTTTCACAGTTTCTATTTATATCTCGAACCTGGCATCTTGAGCAATCGGACTTGATTGTCAAGATCTTCTTAATGACAACCTAATTCAACATCTTGTTTGGGAGCGGACGAACCACACACCCACCAGGCGTGATTTGCATTTAACGTTACAGTAAGAGCCCGCCTCCCAATCCAGCCTCAGCATGCATGCAACGTTCTGCGCCAATGGTTGATAAGCATGTGCTTCTTATGCGCCAGAGAAACATGTATTTCACGTCAGATGAAATCGTCGACTTCAAGATCTCTTCGGGGTAACGAAGGTGCCATATCCCAGCCGAGACCGCCAACAGAACATGTGAGCAGCAAGCTGCTTCGTCGTTGTTGCTGTCGATGCCACTTCATACCTAAGTATGAAATGCCTTCAAGTTGGGCCTGTTGGCCACCAACATCAGTTATTATAAACGGTGTTTTATGGTGAATTACAGGTAGACCACCAATATTAACGGAGCCCCTTGCTATTGTGGTTCTTACATTGGTATATGACTGACTAACAAGTACCGATATAGGAAACAATCTAACTCACGGTCTACACCACGCCGCATCTTAGAGGCGACTAGGCCCAACGGGATACCTGTATGTTGGGCAATACAAGCTCCAGGTTGATAACAAGAGCCACTCTCGGTAGTAGCCACGAAGAGCTTACCTACCAGTTTCGACATTACTGTCATCAAAGTCCTTGAAAACCTGGCTCTCTATGAGTGCAGTCTACCATCGTTGGTATTGCTTCTATCCGAGATATGTTGACGGAAGCAGCTTGGTACAAGAACGAATTCCACAACATAAACATTGCACAGGCATAACATGACAACAGGCTGGTGCCACCTGAACTGTGGTTGACAGGAGCGGACGCAACCAGCCGAGGTTTTTTGAGCTTGCCACCGGGGTTATGATCTATGCATGTTGATGGACCCCATCATGCAGGGTGTTCGACAAGCACAGCATCAGACATCCCATAATTGCTCAATTATTAAACGTCCCTGCAACAACTTGTATTCAATGTCAGCATCGGTAATATTGCTTGCAGGCATGGCTGCGGCCGGTGAGCAGAACCCTAGGAGCAGCGTGCCGATCCATGTGATGGGACGGGGTAGCAGCAGGTTGCTGTATTGGGAAATGCATGACGCCGGGTACTGCTGGGCCAGATGTCCTACAGTACTCGATTGAACGCGGCGCGTTGGGGAAGAGTTCACGAGGTCGCGTCTAGCGTCCGTGGAGGGCATCTGGGAGTGCTCGAATCTGTCGATTCGTGGATACTAACATCTTTTTGATCTGAGAACAGAATCATCATTTCATAATATCGTCAAAAGCTGGATGTCAACATACAAAACGCAGCCTAATTGACAGACAAGGTGTCTTGATCTCGAATCACATATTTCACGAGCGCAGTGCGCGTCAGAAATATATGACTGACAGTAGCAGGCAACCGTTGGCTCTGTTTATCTTCGCGAGAGGTCGCTTTTATTTCTCCATCGATAACAAGCTTTTGTGCAACGGAATGGCATTAGCCATGCGTCAAGACGGATCCAAGAAAATTCGACATAAGAGTCATAAGCACCACTGCGCTAACATCAATAATTATTCAAACAGCAAGCATATCATAAAGAACAGGGGTCCGTTCCGGGTGTGAAGCTATTGGAATGAAGGCCGAGACAAACGCCTCTTGTTGGTAGCTAAGAATCGACCGCACGGACTGATGTGATTGGCTTCGTACTCGCAAGTCAGCCAAAGGACGAAGTAGCCAGCCGGTCAGGCGTCACAAGACAGCAAGCCGAGGACAATTAAGCAAGGATAATGCATCAGCATGATGCAATACGGACCCAAATTTATGGAGAAGGCTGTTGACTCAAGTATTGTCAGCAGGCTAGAAAGACAATAGCGACTCAGTTATTCAAAGACGTGAAAGAACCGCGCAAGTTGACAATCGAGACCAAACAAAACGAGAAGCTAAATTATACCTTGGCTGCGAAACCAGGATACTGGCGAGGGGAAACGCAGCCACCAAGCGGTGATTTTCCATAAGGGATTAAGCCGAGGCGAAGAGACTGGGGTCCGTTCGGTGCCGGCAAGGTTTCATGTGCGGACCAGCTCATACGATGTCTACCGGCGATCTACAAGCGAAATTTTTACGTTGTGGTTTAAGGCAGGTACTGAGCTTGAAGGCTCGTGTTAGGGCGCCTTTGACGTATTCTATTTGGGCGTGTCTGGCCAGAAGCCAAGGCCAGTTAGATCACATAAAGAGATCTGTGCCACAAGCAATCGGGAAATGGCGAACTGGAGGAGGCTTACAATGAGATGACAACGGTCTCAAGTTTGGTGGAGTCTCAATTAAAAGCCGCGGCGGGACACGAAGACAAGTTAAAAGAAAGGCGGACGATCCAAGGCCCCGCCCGCTCTTGATGGACAGGAAGCTGTGGCTGATTAGTTCACAGGTGTGTCTGCGTTTAGTTTGGCGTGCAAACCGTCTGCAAGTTGCTGAATTAGACTCGTTAGAGCCAAGAGTGGATGATAGCTGAGCATCACGAGGGACCGCGCGGGGCAGAGTTGTCTCGCAGTTCCAAGAGCTGATGGGCCATGCTTCTCGCGTATCTCGTCTGCGACCTTAGTCAACCCACGGCGGAGACTCAGACTCTGGGGTGAAGATTGGGCTCACAGTGCATGGTCTGTGTCCATGGGGGGGGGGGGGGGGGGGG